CGCGTACCGCAAGGATCAGACGATAGGTGTCGAACGAAGACACGATTCGCGATTTCAATAATCAGCAAGGACGACGATATAAGGGGTTACTGCGAGCAGGATCACCATTCCATTTCCAGCGCTCGAGAAATATTCGAAGCGAACGCTGGAATTTTAGCGAATACGCTAGCTTTAGCCTTCTCGAAAAGAGCAAGCTATTTTTTGGAAACTACATGCTGCGAAAGCGTACCCGGCCGTTGCCACCGACCACTCCGTAGAACTGTTACAGGGTGGTCACCCCGGTCAGTCGCCACACCGCCAGTAGCCGTACCTCGCCTCCCGATAGCCCAAGCCACGGGACCACAGCGAGCGAGTAAGCGCCCGAACAACAGCCTATCCGCAGCAGTCGTCATATCCGCCAGGCCAGCCGCCGTCGCTAGATCGCCTCGTCACACAGACGACGCAGAGACGCCGACCAGCCCGGAAAAGGACGGTTACGAACCTCGCAGCGGGATCAGCCTTCGGACCTGACGGTTAAGACCGATCGACCTGCCCGAGCGAGCGCTCACTCGTCCACCGGCGCACTACTTAGTGGCGGGAGACCAGCGTCTCGAGCGGTGGAAAACCTCTCCGCGACTACGGAGTTTGCCGCCTAGCTTGTGAGGACGCTGAGTAGCGGGTGCTACTACGCAGACAACTCCTCCGGCCCTAGCGCATAGGGGTATCTCACCAGGGACTCCGACAGGGCCCCCACAGCGTTGGAGCGACTCGAGCGACCAGGAGCATCTGCCAGAACTCCCGCGCTATGGGCCTATCTCAGTGACCCTAACGCAGCCACACCTTGCATATTATGAACGATATTATAAATAGTGTATATAATAAAGCGGTATAAGAATATAAACGACTGTACTCCTCCTAATCATCAAGTTGTAGGCTAAGATCCCTACAAATTACTAGTATATCTAGCTTCTGGTGATTCTACTGGTGGATTTATGAAAGGTTTTAAAAGGAACGGCATGAGCGGGTATGCAGTATCACCCAGATATGTATATTAAAATATATGATGTTCTATATAATAATTAGTCTGTTTTTTTTAACTAAACTGGCAGCACTAGTTAAAGAAATTTACACACACTGAAGTCTGAGAATCTTTTATATACGCTTCATATACTTCAATGTATATGTGTATTTCTTGAATTCTTGCAGCCAATTCAGCTACAAAAAACAAAAGAAATGAAATGTAATAAACTAATTACATCATAACGTTTTTAGTTTGTAATTTTTATTTTAAATTATAATTAACATTATATTGTTACGCTCCCGTATGTACGCCTTGCTGAACATGGAACGTATCGGCGCTCACCTTAGCAACCGTTGTTACAGTTGTTGTTGTTGATAGGAAGGGCAACTTTCTGTGGAGCGATCGAGCGGTTCGGTCGAATTACGTTGAGAGTTTCCTCTGAATAATTGGTCTCGTTTGTAAGCCTTGTACAAAGCTTTGTTTATATTAAAGAGTTCTTGTTATTTGTTCATGGGAGTGTTGCTTACTATTTACGCGGGTGATCGTGAGTGAGAGGAAAACGACGCTTGAGCGTAACAATATTATATTCAAATATAGAAACAATATAGATATAAAAATTAAAATAAACAATAGCATATCATACCTATAAGACATGATCCTTTTTCGCCTAATTCATGCTATCTTTGTAAATGATCAAATAAACGTGAAGAACGAAAAACTCTGGAATCATGTGTTCTTCCTCCATATATTGCATTGACTGATAATATTTCGGTATTATATGAAGAGACCTAAAAAACGAATATACATTTCGCAAACAAAAATTATCACTTTAAATTATAATATGAGCCAATAAGAGCAATATATCAATTATATATCAATCTTTGAGTTAGTGTCACAAATAGGAAGAAACAGAAAGCTCTCTCTTTGTGTGTTTGATGCCAGTCAAATTATAAAAAAAATTTACTTACACCACTTTTGTTCTTAATGGCTCATATCATACTTATTATCGTAAATTGTTCCGTTGTAATTTTTGTATTTTATACTTACGATCATAACATTTAGGGAATGATACAATTTCCTATTAATAAATGAATGCTCTTTTTCGGTTTCTGGGGGAAAGATGGCAACATGACTTCTATCTATTGCTCCAATGACTCCTGGAAATCCTGTGTTAAAAAAAAATCTAAAAGTGTAGTAATACCAATTTTACAAGTATTTCATAAAATGTAGATATTGTAGTAAGTTTTATTTATATAAGTATTATTATTTATGTTCTTATATACAAACTCTTTTTTAATCCGTTGTTTTCTTTCTTCTTCTGTGGGAAATTTAATCCAGCGTTCCATTATTCTATTAAGTGCATTCACTGTTGCATAAATTGAAACAGAGATTGATGTTTGACACATACATGAAAGGAAATCTTGTCCATCTTTTCTTTGGTAGGAACCAGATGATAAGAAATGTAGAGTTGCAAATATCTAAAAAAATTTTATGGAATTGAAAAAATATATAAATATATGCACAAAATAGAAGAAAGAATAAGAGACCCAGATAGCCAAACCTGCGCGAGCAGATTTCGAACAAAGCCTGCTATCATAGTTTGGTGGCAAACAGGCAACAAATTTAACGCAGAATCTGTTATATCAAATTATGCCGCCAATCTGCGGTCAATATGTGCCAGATCCTGTTGTAAGATATTTGACGGCAGATTTGTAGCAAAAACCGCGCAAGACTTGCAGTAATTTGACGGCAGATTGGCGGCAGAAACTGAGCAAACTCTACGCGTAGACTCTACGTGTAGTTTGGCAGCACCTGCGCGGTTTCTGCCGACAATCTGCTCGCACGGCCTGTCATACAGGTCCTGTCGACAAAACACGAGCCTAATGAGGACACAGATGGCTATGGTTTTGATGTGGAGATCTGATCGAAACTGGCGTCAATCTGCGCGCATTCTGCTAGCATTTTGCTTACTGGGGAGAGAATGTAAAAAAAGTTTAATTACTTGTATATGTTGAGGTATTACTGTACTTCTTCTTTTAAGTGGCATATGAGGAAGTAATTATTCTATTAATTCCATTATAGCAGGTTTAGATAACCTAATATATAAAAGAAACACAAGTATAATACAGGGTTTTTCAATTGGTGCGGGTCGATGTTGGCAGCCTGTGGCGGCCATGCTGTTTTGGCGGCGTCTGTCTAACCTGTTGTTTATTATTCAGTCACTGATGCCAAATCACCATGACAAGTTACACGATTGAGCAGCACGTCCAAATGATAAAACTTTATTATCAAAATGAGTGTTCGTTAGTGCAAACGTTGCGCGCGTTGTGCCCATTTTACGGCAGACGCGGTGGCCCTTCAAAGTCGACTCTCCAACGTTTGGTGGCCAAATTCGAGATGACCAGTTCGGTAAACGATCAGCCAAAACCCGTACGTCAAAGGAACGCCAGTTCGGCCGAGAACATCTCCGCTGTAAGTGGAAGTGTACAGGAGAACCCGAGGCAGTCAATTCCTCGCCGTGCACAAGAACTCGGCCTTTCGCAGACTTCAACTTGGCGAATTTTGCGTCGAGAATTGGGCCTGCACCCGTACAAGATCCAACTGGCCCAGGAGCTCAAAGTTAATGACCATGGACAACGCCGTTTGTTCGCTGACTGGGCTTCGGAGCATTTGGAAGAGGACCCCAATTTTGGCCGAAAAATCATCTTTAGCGACGAGGCTCATTTTTGGATGAATGGCTATGTTAACAAGCATAATTGCCGTATATGGCACGACGCCAACCCACACGAGGTTCAACAGGTAGCAATGTATCCACAAAAAATTACTGTTTGGTGCAGATTTTGGGCCGGCGGCGTCATTGGTCCGTACTTTTTCGAAAACGACGTTGGTGAGGCCATCATCGTCAATGGCGAGCGCTACAGAACAATGATAACCAATTTCTCTTGGCCCAAATTGAACGATATGGACGTGGACGACATGTGGTTCCAGCAGGACGGCGCTACGTGCCACACAGCGGACGCCACGATGGACATTCTGCATGAACGATTTGAGGGTATGGTTATCTCTCGCAGAGGTGACGTGAATTGGCCACCAAGATCGTGCAATTTGACCCCGCTAGACTTTTTCTTGTGGGGTTTTCTGAAGTCGCAGGTCTATGCCAATAAGCCGCAATCGACCGATGCCCTTAGTCAACATAACCCAGGCCATCACTCAAATTCAGCCGGATCTATGCGGCAGAATAATTGAAAATTGGACCACTCGGATCCGTGCCACCGTGAGAAGCCGCGGCGGACATTTGAACGATGTTATATTCCACACATAATGGCATACATGGGCCTTTCAAATGAAAAAAGAATTTCGTTAATACCTCACACACAGCTTGTTTTATTCCATTGCGATCCGCCCTTATTGAAAAACCCTTTACATGATGTAATTATATGTATATAACTATTTACATAATATGCAAAAATTCTTACCTATATAATTTTTTAAATGTATTTTCATCTATATCAAAAGGATTTTGTGCATCTCGTAATTTTTTTCTTGTTATATTTAAATTTTGTTGTCTCTTTTTAACTTCATCATCGTAATTCAATAAAATTATATATTCCATTTTACACTTTTATTTTTCATATGTATCTTTTTTTTATGTTGAGGAATCTAACTTTTACCTCATACTTCATTTCACTTATAAACATTATATATGAATATGCGTGCTTTCCAGCAAGAGATACTGTTATACACAAAGGTATTTTGTGGGCCATATATTGGCTGCGTTCCGATATTCACTGCCAGTACTGAATATACATAGTTTGTGTCACGTACCATAGATACTATAGATTTTCAATACTGTCAGTGAATATCGAAATGCAACCACATCTCGAATGATATTTTAGGCTGCATTCCTTTATTTACTGCAAGTACTGTCAGTACTGCCAACAGCGTTCCGAAATAGGTTGCAGTGCACTGCGAAAGCACTTCTATAAACCTATGACGTCACTGATTTTAATGTCACTTCCTGTTGCGACTACTGCAGCCGAAGAGGTAAAGCAGTTGCAGTGCAAAATGGCTATCTACATTGAAATAACCTTACTTGATAGTGAGACTAATAAAACATACACAATGAATGTCAGTTTAAAGGATGCTGAAGAGCTTATAATGGTAAGGATTAATTTTTTTAGTTGAACTTTGTGCTAAATTAAATTTTTGTAATATTACAGACTTTCGTTCACTCATATTAATATTTCTTATTACTTAATTGTTATTTATTTTAGAATAGAATATATATAATGTAACAAAAATGTATACATTTATAAAATTTGTAATATTTTATAAAATTTGAGATTTTATTATGTATGTGTTTTTATTACAGATTTAGAATTTGCAACAACGTTATTAGAAAAAGCAAAATGCCATGGTAAAAAGAAAACTAACGTTACACTACAAATTCTTTTCACAATAAGTTTTTAATATTAAGTTTGATATTCTGTCTATACCCAGATAGCAAATTGCCTGTGAGTTTACTGTTATTTTGTCAAAGTCAATTTAGACAAACTAAGAGACAGATGAGACAATATTATACGTGTAGTTTTGAACTCACATGAATACCAATTGTAATGACAGCAAATTGATGACAAATTGATGGCAATAAGAGATGAACATAATTCTACATATTTTGTTGCCGTCATCTTGTCATCATGATGCTGACAACATAAGTACTCATGTTGTTGAATTAGTAACGCCTTATATTTCAGTGTTGACAAATGTATAGCAAATATAAAGTAAAACGTGCTGTGCATTAGTTTGCACAAAATGTTCAATCACTCTTTGTCATCGGGGAAAATTCTTTTCAATTTTTAGACTATTCTAGCTGTATTTTAGGAAGCCAAACCAACAAAATTTATCATGATACAAGTCATAAAACCTCAGAGTTAGATGCAAACAAAGAAAATGATAATAGTAAAGATAAAAGTAAGTTAATATAAATATTAGAATTATTTAAAGAAATTTAATAAGAAATATCAGTAACATTTTTCTTGTAATATATAGAACAACATATTTGGTCTAAAGAAGAAACATTGCTTCTAATGGACATATACAGGGTAGGTGGTTATAAGTTTACAATCTGAAGTGTACAGGTAGATTACATTAAGACAAACATAAAAGTCCCATACCGTTTACCGAGATTCGCAATAATTATCGAGTTATTAATGACAGAAATCTTGAAGAGTGGGAGCGCGCCGGCATAGATGATTGGAGAAACGTTAAACCTGCTCAGGCTACGGCGCGGCTCACTCGGCCCAGCAACTGTGGGCGGCGTGCGGCGAGACGTAATTCCGACGAGATAAAACAACGAATAGCGGCGCGTTGTCCTTCTCCTCGTCTTCCCGCTATGTCGGCGCGCTTCTACTCCTCAGATTTTTGTCATTAATAACTCGATAATTATTGCGAATCTTGCAACATGGTATGGGACTTTTATGTTGATCTTAACCCAATCTACCTTCACACTTCGGGTTGGCAGCTTATAACCGGCCACCCTATAAATGCGCGTTTTCGTCACACGTTCTCTTCGCGGAGATGATTAACGGCTATCCTTTCCACACCACCTACCGGTAGATATAGCGCGTTTTTTTTATAGTGGTATCCCCAGGAGGCCTAATCCACTGTACATTAATGTATTAATGTAAAAACTGCTCGAAGTGCCATCCTTCTTCTCGCATACAAAATTTGGCTCGTTTAATATCGCGTTTAATATCTTCGTTTAATATCGCGCGTTGCTCGGTGCGTCATTTCCGGCGTGATAGTATTGAAGGCCGCGACAATTGCCTCACGTACTTCTTGTTCTGTACCATCACGCCGCTGTTCGATTAAATTCTTAACGTGACCCCATAAGAAATAATCGAGCACATTAAGGTCAGGAGATCGCGGCGGCCAGGTGATCGGACCACCTCGACCTATCCACCTTTCCAGGAAACGCGTATCTAATATATTTCGCACTTGCCGGCTAAAGTGCGCAGGAGCTCCATCATATTGAAAGATCAACTCCGCTCATGCCTGTAGAGGGACGTCCTCGAGTAGCCCTGGGAGTTGATTTTTGATAAAATCGGCGTAAATCTCGCCATTAAGCCGAGGTGACAAAAACTACAGACCGATCTGAAAATTATGAAATATTAGAAAATCATTGCGAGAAAGAAGTTTCTTCAATGATACTCACCACTCGGTCCGCAATTACTCCGGCCCAAACATTAATACTCCAGCGGTACTGGAACGCGCCTTCTCGAACGGCGTGTGGATTTTCCTCCTGCCACAATAGGAAAATCCATACGCCGTTCAAGAAGGCGCGTTCCAGTACCGCTGGAGTATTAATGTTTGGGCCGGAGTAATTGCGGACCGAGTGGTGAGTATCATTCGATTGAAGAAACTTCTTTCTCGCAATGATTTTCTAATATTTCATAATTTTCAGATCGGTCCGTACTTTTTGCCACCTCGGCTTAATGGCGAGATTTACTTCGATTTTATCAAAAATCAACTCCCAGGGCTACTCGAGGACGTCCCTCTACAGGCACGAGCGGAGTTGATCTTTCAACATGATGGAGCTCCTGCGCACTTTAGCCGGCAAGTGCGAGATATATTAGATACGCGTTTCCCGGAGAGGTGGATAGGTCGAGGTGGTCCGATCACCTGGCCGCCGCGATCTCCTGACCTTAATGTGCTCGATTATCTCTTATGGGGTCACGTTAAGAATTTAATCGAACAGCGGCGTGATGGTACAGAACAAGAAGTACGTGAGGCAATTGTCGCGGCCTTCAATACTATCACGCCGAAAATGACGCACCGAGCAACGCGCGATATTAAACGAAGATATTAAACGCGATATTAAACGAGCCAAATTTTGTATGCGAGAAGAAGGACGGCACTTCGAGCAGTTTTTACATTAATACATTAATGTACAGTGGATTAGGCCTCCTGGGGATACCACTATAAAAAAAATGCGCCATACTATCTACCGGTAGGTGGTGTGGAAAGGATAGCCGTTAATCATCTCCGCGAGGAGAACGCGTGACGAAAACGCGCATTTATAGGGTGGCCGGTTATAAGCTGCCAACCCGAAGTGTGAAGGTAGATTGGGTTAAGATAAACATAAAAGTCCCATACCGTGTTGCAAGATTCGCAATAATTATCGAGTTATTAATGACAAAAATCTGAGGAGTAGAAGCGCGCCGACATAGCGGGAAGACGAGGGGAAGGACAACGCGCCGCTATTCGTTGTTTTATCTCGTCGGAATTACGTCTCACTGCACGCCGCCCACAGTTGCTGGGCCGAGTGGGCCGCGCCGTAGCCTGAGCAGCTTTAACGTTTCTCCAATCATCTATACCGGCGCGCTCCCACTCTTCAAGATTTCTGTCATTAATAACTCGATAATTATTGCGAATCTCGGTAAACGGTATGGGACTTTTATGTTTGTCTTAATGTAATCTACCTGTACACTTCAGATTGTAAACTTATAACCACCCACCCTGTATACATCCAAAGAAAAAAATTTAATAGTGGCAAAAATACAGTGAAACATTGTTGAATGTTTCTGAGGAAGAATGTTTCTAAGGAAATGAAGAAAATGGGGCATGACATAAGTGGTAAAAAATGTTGCATCAAATTTCAGGCAATGAAAAGGACGTACAAAGTAATAAAGGACCACAATCAACAGTCAGGAAACAACACAAGGAAATGGGAATATTTTGAAATAAATATTTTTTGACTTCCTATATTATTATACATGATTTTGCATTAGTATTATATTACATTGTAGTATTATATTATTGTATTATTATTAATATTTTCACTCTACATGATATTTAATGATATTTGTGATTATGTATTTTAGATGATGGATAACATATTTATTAAGAAGCCGTGGGCAGAACCTTTAGTAGTCGCTGGTACAAGTGTTAGCAATTCTGACAGTTGTCCAATATCAGAATCTTCAATAGAAGAAAATCTTAAAAGTTGTTCAGGTAACCTACATATACAGGATATTTGATGATAAATGTCGAAAACCATAGTATACATGCAAGTTAAGATGTTCTGAATAAAAAAGTCTTTTACCATTTAGCATATTTATATATTATTTCTTGCGATTAGTCACATATATGAATACATACATGAATATTCTTGCGTATAGTCACATAAATTTTTAAGTTATTAATTATAACAACTTTTATATACACACATGCCATTTTCAATAATTAATAATACACAAAGACATGTGTATGTATAAAAATATGTAAATTTTTAATTATAATTTAATTATAGGGATGAAAAGAAAAGTAACTTTGGACATTTACTTAGAAAAATTGTTAGAAGAAAAAAGATTGAAACGAGAAGCAGAAAAGCATAAAGAGAAAATGGAGCAATTAGATAATATTAAAAATTTGTTACAAAGTCTTATTAAAAAATAATAAGTTTAATATATTTCCTTTTATTTTATTTGTTACATGTTTTATAATGTTTATTAATGTTCTGTTTAGTACTATAGTTTCAGTATTATAGATTACAAGAAGTTATTTTTTTTTTTAGAAATAAATATCTTGTTTGGAGTTCTCTGTGAAAATAAGATTTCCTTTCATAAGATAAAAGTGAAAATTTTATTATTATATGAATATTTTATTAAAACATTATGTGCAGTATTTTCCTTATATTAAGCATTTTTGTCAAGTATTTGTAACAACACATTGATTATAAGGCTCATTGTAAGACTGTTAAATATATATATTTTTTTACATAAAGCAACGTGTGTGCAGGGAAAATCGTTTATAAAACTGATCAAATGTAGTCAATATATGTGTAATAAATAAATGTATAACTAAACCGAATAGTAATTCTTATTTTTTATTTTGCAGAATATGAAACCATTTTAGGAATACATAATATTAAATTAAATTATTCATATATAAAAAAGTAATCTAATTTAATATATTTATATATTATAATATGTTTACACATACACACACATACACACAACAGATACAAATATTATAGATTATAATAGATAAAAACAACTTCTCATGTGTGTAAATACATATATAGCAAATTTTTTTATTCCAAGAATAAATGAGGATTCATCAATGAATAGGCAATAACATTTCATTTTTGAATACCTTCTTCTCTATTTTGAATATCTATTATATTCTGATTACGTACATATTGTGCCTCATTTATTACTATTGGAATATCAATAATATCATCGTGTAATAAACAAATATTATGTAGAATACAACATGCCACTATATATTTCGGTATTAAATCGGTTCTTGTCATTGGTAACTTATCTGTTATAGTATACTTCGTCCTTTTAAAAGACCTAGTGATCTTTCGATAATCATACGCGCAGAAGAATGTACGCGATTGTAATTTTTTCAGTCTCAGTTAAGTGCCCATTGTCACAAAACGGAACTATAATATATTTTTGTATGCTATATGCAGCATCTCCCAATAGGTGGCTATCTTCCGGAAAGTTATCTTCTGTGCACATATCTTGAAAACGTGATAATTTAAAAACTCTCATGTCATGAATGGAACCTACTCCGGTGTAACAATGTACAAATTTTAATGTAGAATCACATATAACCTGAAAAAATATTACCTTCTTCATATTGCGTAGTATTAAAAGAATTTTATACTTGCGCAAAAAATGTCTGTTTTTTGCACTTTTGACGTTTAAACTACAATAACACATCTTCTAATATGTATTTTAACTTTGCAAAAACATTTTGAAATCCGTGCAGCCGAAACAAAATAGTACGTGTCCAAAAATATACATTTTTGCACTAGCATAAGATTTTCTTAAGAAATTTTCAATTTTTTAATTTATTTAACATGAGTTCCTATATACATATATGTCAAGTATACAGGGTGCACGATTTATCTGAAGACATTGAAATATCTCGAGAACTATGCATTGGATAA